GTTTTTCCTTATACTTTCGGTAGTTTTGTGTGTCAGTTCTTAAATTCGAAAACCAGTCTTGTAGTTTTATTTGCAAAGTTTTGCTATTCCGCTCGGGCACCGGGATCTATTTTAAAACTATTCGAACTAGCGTCGTTTTAAATTTAGAAAGTTCGTCTTTAAAAACTTCAACACGCCTTTTTCGAATTGACTAATTGAAAATTCAGGAAAACCACTATTTCACAATATATCCGAAGAAGTGACTGAAACGGATCAACAGAGAACTTCAACAACATTTCGATGAGCCATGGCTAACTACTAAATTCAGTGGTGACTTTATGGATCGCGTGCTGATCGGCAATTTCGCGAGAGCTTCGGATCGCTGAGTTTCATGAAACCGTTCCCGAGAAAGTTTCAGCGGGACTGAAACGGCCTGAAATGCCTGAAAATCGCTATTGAAAACAGTGTCAGATGCAGGAACACATGCGCGTCCTGCAAAAATTAACAGGTGCCGCGTTATTAGTTCATAGGTTTCCATCGTTTACCTTTTTTATTCGAAACGAAGAGTGAGAATAATTAGTAGGTAATTTTACTTCCCTTCCTAAATGAACCATAATTTATCACTGAATATTTCAGTGGAATGCCAGTTAACGTTGCAAAGTGGGTGTGAGGTTTCGTGCACTTGGAATGGACACACCTTGACAGCTATGGAAAGTTAAATAGAAACAGTAATTTTCATTTAGTTCATATTGAACTAGATAAATGAACTCATCAAAACTGCTAATCGATAAACTGGCATTTTGTCAAATCGGGAAAGCTGCACATTTGTGGGATGCTCAATATTTTCGGGAACGTTTGCAGAAATTCTCATCTGGAATGTCGTGTATCTTTAGCAGCTCAATTAAATTTAACAAAGAAATGTCTGTAAAGAGTCTAAGTTGTTGTGAGTTGTTTCAGTTCGAATGATCAACTGGTGAACTTATCAATACTTCAGAACATTGGAAGGGAAATTCGCAAATTCGAAAAGCTATTAGATGGATTTTAATTGGCTAGACGCTACATACATATGTACAGAACAGAATGTACAGTATGAAACTTCAAATTTTGTTTCCGGTGATAACGAGTAGTGCGGAAACCATGTAAAATACCCTCTCGCTAAACAGGGTGTACAAAAATTATTATCTGACTTTCTTATTTTAAATGCAAACCCCTAATGTTTCACGAACTGTTTGTTGGGTATTTCGCCCTCAAAAATGTTTGTATTTAGAAAAGACAGGATTTCCCCACACAGTCTTTTAATACAAATTGATAAACAGTCGCAATATCTCGTAATAAGAACGAATTATGTATCAGAAGGTAATCAAGAACTATCACCTAAGGGGTATCCTGCGACACACTTACTCTCAAGCTGAGTCGATACAATTTTGTGCTCTTTGTAAAATCTTGTATCATTCATAGTTTTTGCGCAAAAAAATGTCTGTTTTCTTGCCACTTAACAATGTTAGACATTAATAGCAAATATGCGCTGCGTAAACGCGTTCGCTTTCACGCAAGTTGTCTTCCCAAAACCCAAACACTTTTTTTTTGAGAGATTGATTGACAATTAATTTAAGCCTCGTATCACGATATTTGCAGTTAATATCTAACATTGTTAAGTGAAAAGAAAACAGAGTTTTTTTTCGCACAAACTATGAATGCTGCAAAATTTTACAAAGAACACAAATTTGTGAATAAATGGTTAGTGCATCAACCCAAAAAAAAATTTGTTGATTTCATCGACCAAATAAAAAGTTCTGGTAGTTTCTGTACCACGACACTCTAGAATTCACCACTTGTCCAAAACGGATAAACTCGATTGTTTAATCAAAAGATGAGTCTTATATACGAACAAATTCACAGCGAGTTTCACTAAAATACATCGTACCATTCTCCCGATATTTCACAAAAGATAATTTTTTTAAGAACTTTAACCAGCAATAATAGCAGACGAGCCAGACATTTTTTGATAATAAATTTTAAATTAACAACCCAAATTTGGTAGGTAGTTAGCTGAAAGCCTAAGCTGACTACTCAGATGACACTAACATATCTATGTTGTAACATACGAGTGCATACAACATATAAAAAGAGGCGGAAATCAGTTTTTTTAAATGGCACCTACTAACTTTTTTGGTCCTGTTTAGTTTGGTTTCTTATTATTTAATCACAGCAAAAAAAATTGTTTTTTTTGCATCGGAATCAAGAAAAAAGTGTTTTGATAAAAGCGTTCAATGAAATCAAAGTTTATATACTTATAATGGACCAACTGCTGATTGAAGAGGAACACCAAATTTACGGGTGTTCTATGTCGAGCACTGAAGATTTCAAGTTAAAATACCACAAAAGTAGCTAAACATTAAGAAATATCAAGCCCCAAAAAAGTCGATATCTAAATTTAGAAGAAAATGTAGTATGAAATTAAATTATAAAGGTTGAATAACCTAGTAAAAAATGTTCTTTTCGAAAATGGAACAAATCCCTATTGAGAACGCAAGACCTCTTTAATTTACAATGTAATTCACAGAAGAAAACACCAATAAATGTAACAATTTATCTTCCAAGATAATAGGAAGTGTAAGTCGCACAAAAACGACACTTGTTTTACATCTTTGCCGTTACGTTCCTATTAAAACCAGAAATTGAAATAACGCAATACAGAATCCAGATATTTTCTCGCCGTTCCTCGTCGCATATATATTACATGTACCAATATAATAAAATACATCTGACACAGGAAAAATGTAAAGCCAAACTCACCGAAAGCTGCATCGTGTCACCTGGAAACAGAAAAAAAGGTGTTTGTGTACAGGAAATAATTATAAGCTGAGGAATATCTCTCAATTTGATCTAAAAAAAACCTCCGCCAGTTTAAGATAAGTCTTTTGAAAAATGCCAAATTTTTTTCGGGCACCCTGTATATTAGAGATCTGTCTTACCAAGTTTCTACATGCTGGGGCCCCATCATGAACCATTTCCGCATAGGCTGTGACTCACTTTCAGCAAAAGTTCCCTTTAGGTAAACCCATCAACACACTTATTTTTCAGCACCAAAATGCCACTAATTTGATAATAGGTATCGCTTGTTCCCGATTAAAAATGACCACTATTAGCAAGACACCCAAAGAAACTGGCAATCTGTTCCGTTCCTCGCATGTATTACATCAAATATTTAAGAGTTAAAAAAAAAATCTGGCGTTTTGTACAGTACAGTAATATTTTGCTTGATTGCCCGCTATTGTTTTGATCGTCTGAATGATTAACATTTTTTTGAGCAGGTTGTATGTAGCTGTAAAAAAAATCCGACAATATAAACAGGAAAAAATAAACAACTCAGATCAGGCGCGCAATAGGCTATTTATGCTGAATGAAAACCGGATTTTTCTGGAAGGTGGTAAATTTTTGGACAATCCTGAACCTTTCACGTTTTTACGTTTTTTTCGACTCATACATGAAGCGTCGGTTTTAGGGGAGTTTTGTACTTTAAAACGTTTTTTAATTTATTTTTCATACCACTTTTTAAATACGTTAGTTTAACTAAAGCCATTATGTCATCTTCTCTATTTAGAACGATTTTCTAAAAAAATATACCGGGTGCAATCTAATTCATCGTACCGTTCTTCCGATATTTCAAAAAACGACTTTTTTAGAGCTTTCACTATCAATAACAGGGGAGTCAAGCACTTTTCCTTAATAAAAGTTTGGCCTGAACCGTGCATGAGAAGTTTTTCAGCTGACAGTTGTCTTAGAAAATTCAAATTTTGTAAAATACATCTAACCCTCCAGCTCTACAGGGTATATGAAAAATATAATGTAACTTAATTGTAAACTCCTAATTTTTTAGCATGATTGTACGGGCCTTCTAATTTCTAGTTTGAGCCGCCCTAGCTTTTCGATATTTGTCAATTATTTAAGAAAAAAGTGTCATTACGGATTTTTTACGGAACATGCCATATGAAATTAACGGTATTAAAGTCAAAACCCAAATTTCGTGAGTAGCTAAAAGTCCCAGCTAACTCCCCATATGACTTTAACGTGTCCATTTTGCAGCCCATGCAGCTTACAAAGATTGATATAAAGATCAAAATCAGTTTTTTCTAAGTGGCATCTACAAGCTTTTTTGGACCTTCTTCCGTGATGCCTCATGTGACTTACCTTGGATATACATATTGAATTTCTAAGTCTGACTTTCATTTAGCCAAATTTATTTCAACTGTAAAACAATAACTACTTTTTTTTTTCAAACTAACTAATTTTTTCAATATTTTTCACGTACTCCAAGTGAGCCCCTGTAACCCCTTAAAAGGAATGACACCAATTTTGAACCAGCCCTGTTTATAGTTATTTCAGAGATTCCACTTTAAATTTCAAGTTACTCTTTATTTTTTTACCGCAAAAAGGCTGTGCTTTTCTGAAATTTCCCGGTTTTCCGAAAATAGGAAAGGACCGAAAGAAATGCTTCTGTGATTTTTTCTGTAACCTAAATTTACCTAAACATAAAACATAGTGGGAATTGGAAAAAATTACTTTTAGTACATAAAGCTTACCTTAGACATTAAGGACAAAAACAAAAATATAATCAAGTGGATTGGTGAGATAAACTAATGCAAACCGGGACTCACTAATGATGGTAAACTAATGCAGGAATTGCAGGCCCCTCACAGAACCCAAACAGGTCAACATCCATGTCTACTAGATCGGTAAAACACTGATAGTTGCATTATTTAAATAAAGTTATGACTTAAAAAGCTATTATAGTTAAAAGTGGTCGCTTTCAGATTTTCATACGAATTTCCATTTAGTTTAGTACATAGTCGAATTTAATTGTTATCAGCATTTCATCAAACATACTTTACGCATAGTAGTGAGTGAATTAAATTGAGGAAAAATCGGGACACCCTATACATAAAACAAACAGCATTCGTTAGTAAAAACTTGGTAACTATGTATGCTGATGGATCAGCTATAAATAAAACTAAAACATGTTTGTTAAAAAAATATATAAGATTTATATTACTGTCCTACAATTGCATATGTGGGAAATTAATAAAATATATTTCATTACAATCTAAGTGGTAAATAGTGTCATACTATAAAATGACCACAGACCAAACCTTTATCTGAGTTACCTTACTTATTATTCACATGCGATGCATTTTAACCCAAATAACTCTTTTAGCTCAGAAGGTTTGTACTGATTAGATGCAGTTACTGCAGCATCCAAAGCTACGTTAATTGTATAATTTCATCACAAATTTGCTTATCCAATACATCTGTAGTAAGTTAAAATGCGCTTTATTAATCAACTTCCAATTTTCGAAAGTTTCCAGTAATGCCGCATAGCGAATCCTTTTCAGCTCCGCACGAAACTCCCTGCCTCCTCAAAGCCGAAACTGCTCCCTCTTTTTCTCTGCGGCTAAATAATTCCTCATTTACAGCCATTTCATCGTGGGACATTAAAATGGGATGGGATTGCCTAAGTTCCTCTTTCCACAGTTCTGAAGGAATGAAAAATTAGAACAGGAAAGAAGTCGGAGTGGATAATTAACTATTGGTAATGTGATTTACGAATGGGGCGTTTCTGGTGCATTAAAAAGGCCCTTCATTTATTAAATTTACGTACGTATTATAATTTGGAAGTGAACCAGCGGAAAGCTTGACGAAAAATTATCTCTGCTTATAAAGTGAACACTTTAGTAAAAGTGGTTAAAGAAAATAGAAAATTTCTGAATGCGAAATTAAGTAACGCAAATCCTCGCTAGAATTGAACTCAATTAAGACAGGACCTGAGACACTGAGGTTAATAGCTAGAATATGCATAATAAAGTGGAAAGCTGGAAAATAATACTCCTATCGCACAGTACTGATCGCACAATAAATCTAAATGAGGTGCAAGATTATTGAAGGAATAATAAAGTTAACTAGACCGCCGCATACATAATACATTAACGATTGTTTTATTTCTAGCGTGCTATAAAAAGTCTTAGGCCATATAAATGGAATTCTCTGCGCATTAAAATACATTCTGGTATCTAAATCTGATATGCAGATTGCCTGGACTTGGCCCTTCTTTATGTACTGAAGGAAATCGCAGTCCCTTTTTAAACATTTACGTGATGACAAACATCTAGGAGAACAGTGATAAATTATGCGGCGGTTTTAAAAGAAACAAACTGGAAGTGATAAAAATTGTTTTCATTATTGAAGTTGAAGAGTCCAGTAATTTGTTTAGAGCGTTAAAGAGGCGTGAACGTTCTGGGCGCTATTTCACATGCATTTTTCAAATACCTGATAGTATGAGTATGAAATTAGGCAAGAGTGAGCAAGGAGGAACAATATATCCCCAAGGAGTTTCATTTATTAAAATATTGAACAAAAGCTAATCCTGAAAAACTTTGGAGATGCGTTAACCGTAATTAAATTGCGTCTACATGATAAAGTCTGACCAGATTTATTTAAAGCTCCTACTTCAAACTTACCAATCATTTCCGACATTGGCATAGTTCCACCATATTCTTTCGGTAAAATATGCTTCTCCACGTGTCCGGCATCCAGCACCTCATTTATGTTTGAGTAAAGCCTCACTCTGCTCTTGATTTTATCGGAAATTAAAGTCATGCCCCAGTCAAGCGCAAATTTCATGGATGGATGTATATTGAATCCATGGACTTCTTTGTGTCTCATTGGCAAAGTTTTCTTAAGTGACAATGGGAAATAAATTTGTAGTATAAAACAGATTACATAAATATCGGTTGACGAATGAACACTATTTAGGAGAAAGGAAAAACTTCATAAGTAGTTTCACGAATTATTATGGAAGATGAAAATTAGTGACTGAGTGTGACTGATAGGTATGTTATGCAATTTTGGAGCCAGTGAAGACATTCTAGCAAAGTACATGTTAGTAAAGAGCATTTGATTTTAAAAAATATATAGGATAGTACATATTACTTAAAAAAGTGTTTAATATAATTATTGGGCTTCTTAAAAACACGTTTCATTAGAACAATATTTTGAAATTTTGCATGAAAAATAAGCAAGTAGATATGCAATTTTGCATATAGATAACTAATATAAATGGCTCTCGTTTCAGCTCCAAATTTTGCCTCCAATTGTTTGCTATATGCGGAATGTTTTTTCAGAGTACTTTGCGTTTATTCAATTCAATTAAGTAAGAATAGAATAATAAAAAATGGTTCAATGTTGTTAAAATTGTCAGATGTTCTGAAAATAGGAGCGAAATCAGTGTAGAGAAAAATATCAATTCGCTTATGCTATAAAAAATGTAGAAATTAAGGGACGATTCGATGCGTTACGAAAGAAGAAGCATGGGCGATAAATGTGAAGTGTTGAGTCAAATTGCGCTTGGTTATTTGGAATGATTGTGATTCATTACAGCAAGAAATAATCTCTGCAACTTTTTGCAGCAAAAAATAATCCAAACTTTCGATATTAACAGCTTAACAGGTGACATTAAGCTTAGTAGCACTTTCCAATTCGTACATCAAATTATATAAATTAAACATTTGGAAGCCAATGGATCAGAACGAACCGAGAGGCAGTTAATCGGTCTGCTCGTTCCCTCAATTTAATTCCATTTAAACTTTTTATGAGTCTTTGGTACGGAAAACTTAATGGCTTTTTCCAATGACTGCCAAAATTTTACGAACAGGATTCCAAGCATTAGGCAAACCACAAAAATGCTGGAATATCAGTTTTTAAACAAAGTTCAACGAAAATAGTTTGCGCACGTTATAAAAGGCAAAAGTGAAAATATTTTGGTAGTTTTTTTAATTGTAGTAGACTTTTTAAATTATCAAACAAATTTTCGGATGATTAGTTATGATCCCTAAATGTTGACCAAAAAATAACAAGTATTAAGTAGCTTTTCAAAAATTAAATAAAAGTAATACCCAAATGCTCTGTTTCATACCTCCCCATTCTTTACAATGCGAACAGCTTCTCTAATAGTGAAAAGCGTCAAGTAAGCAAATCCCACACCCGATCCATCAGCAAAGTGAACAAATCCCCGCACTTGATTTTCCTCATCCTCCATCAAAGTTTCATAGACAATTCCGTGAATTCTGCACATATCTCCGTTGGTGAATTTGTTCAAATCAAAAACACCTAGAAATGAGGTTTAGCGTAATTGAATCCTACACTTAGTGCACTGTTAGAAGGGAAAACTGAAATATTTACCGGGTCGAGCTACAATTACTCTTCTTCCTTGACTGTCCCGCTTAGGACACGCAAACATGTATCCAAGATTGGTTAGTTCCTCCATCATAGGAATAGTAATATCCAGGCAGTTGAACGCAACTCCGAAACATTGTCGCAGAAGAATATATCTTTCAAGTGCTTCTTTGGCCTGTTCAACGCTGAATTTTTTAAATCGCAGGAATCTCAGCAAAAAGCGGGCATCTAAATGCAAAAGTGATATAGAAAACTGATTTGGCGGCAGAATCTTGAGATGGAAATTGGTCATACAAATTCGTATGCCAAGAAAACATTTATTGTATTATGAACGAAAACTACTTGAATTTTAGTATCTTGCTTAAACATCAGTACTTTAACTTACTTATAACTCTTTAGTGCTTCACTTTTAATATAACTTATTTCCTTCCTAAATGCGATTATAAATTCTTGATACAAAAAGTGTATCAGGAAAAAATGAAGTTTCAAATGATACTGGCTTTAATGCAGTGCCAGTTGTATGTGGTTAGTAAGCTTATTTGAAATAAAATATTGAAGTAACTTCATTTGAAATAAATTAAAATACACAAGCACAACTAAAGATTTTTATAGTTTCATGTTCACTAAATTAGAACTTATTTGGTGAATTTGCTTTTAAAAATTTGGTTTTTAGCACAATAAAATTTAAATAGATTAAATGAAGCAATACATTGAGGGTGAACTTTAGAAGAGGGTGGCCTCAAAAGTAGTCAATATTTGGATTGTGTCGAGTCTACTTCATCCATATATGGAATTTGGAAAGTGTCTCAAATATTTCCGCATATGGATTATATGACTATTGTTGATCACCAACAACTCAATTATAACCAACTGCTGGTGAAAAGTTTGCAATGAAGCGCTATTTTTTATTATTCAATTCATTCATTCACTTCAAGCTTGAGGAGTACCTAGTCGGCAATTTTTTATTCTTGGATTTTGCTTTATCCAATCTCTCATTGATTCTAAAGCAGAATCTCTGGTCTGATCATTTTCTCGCAGCTCAAACATCGCTAGTTCTTGAGCCTCTTTTGTCAAAGGACACACATAAACATCTGGCTGAGTTACCCATTTTCTGTTCGACATACTGACTTTGGTTCCTTCAGCACCTCAAGAATATCTAAAAAGTAATTTGTTTTGTAAATTTTAAAAAGTATCATTTTTATTACTGTTTAGTTCGCAATTGTTTAATGTCTCCTAATGCAATTAAACAAACTCGAAGAAACGAATTTATTACATCTCTCTATGATTGCGAATTCCTTTTACTTTCTCATTTCACTTTTAATTCATTAAAATAAGAATTGCCGTATTTAAATGTGCATGCTCGTAGTGACATTTGCCTTGAACTTGATTTACCGGAAAGAGGAAATCATACACACCGACTACTAATGATATTCTGGCATGTCTTGTTCGGAATTGAAACTTTCAGCCATTGATTCAATATTTAAATACGTAGTTGAGAGCGAAGAAGTAAAACAGAAATAACTAAAGTGCCTAAATAAAAAGCGTGCAATAATTCATGCTGATAATTAAGCAGTTAAAAAGTTCGCAATATAAAATGTGAAACATTGGTAACTAGTCCTGTTATTTAAGATATTTCAAATATAACAGTGATGTATTAGCAACTTAATAAATGCTTAACAATTTGCTACCATTAATAGATAAATGTGTACATTTTTTAGAATACAAAGAAATTCAACTAAAATATTTAGTTAATAATTTCATTGTGAAAATCAATCGAATGACGGTAAAATATGTTTTTGAAACTTTTATGTTTATAAAAATGTATACAATCGATATTTTGGGATAAAAATATACTCAATTTTATTCTACGAAAAACCTTTAATTGAAAAATCTTGTTAATACGCAAATTGTCGACACACGAAGAACTTACATGGTATTTATCAGATTCTTAATACTCAACTTGAAAAAAAATTGAATACGCACGTTAGTTAAATATTATATAAATTGCATCAACATCATTTTAATGTGATGTCGAATTTAGGAAAATTAATTTTAAAGAAGCTTGAATAGAACAAACAAATACGGAAGTTTTTAGAGTCAAACTTGTTAAAATTTATTTCATAAGAGTGATGTGCTTATACATATTTAATTTTCCAGATAATTTTTTGTATAACAACAGTTATATCTTGATGTTCTTGTCGATTATTAAAAGTGGCGGCGTTAAATATAAGTATGAATTAACAGTTATAAATAAAAAATTCATAAAAAAATCTAAATATAAATCGATATTGAAGTGAAGAACATTATAATATCAGAACAAAGAATTTGAAGATATGGAATTCATCAAATTCAATTTTGGCAATTCATGCACTAATATGCACGTGCAACATAATTACTTAAAAAAGCAAAATTTATCTTCGGATGCTACGAATCAATGTTCAAAAATTAACTGTTTAAAAGGAAAAGTATAAAAATTTTGATGATGCGAAGTTCGATATCCAGACCTCACTGCTATTGACTTGTAACGAAGCAAATGCAGAGATGAAATATTGTAATTTTGAAATTAAGACATTGAACAAGTTTCAAACATATTTTTAATTCAGCAAAATCAAAATGTATAATACTTGCTTGACCCTCAAATAAAACGTTTCTCATTTTGAGAGTGCTTTGATTGATATTTCAAAATGAGTCCTTTTTTKGAATTAATAACTTTATACAGTTTCATATGATTGAATTAGCAGATGTAGACAACATACAARGTGTTTCTTGCCCTCAGCTACCAATAGATCAGTCTTAAATCTCAYATTGAATCACTTGRAGTGCRGAAAAAAAATTWAAAGCTTATCAAAGCTACYGTTTCCTGAACTGAATACATTCAGCGAAAATACAATCAACCGCGAAATACCCCAATGATTAACTTTTACATAACATCTAATTTCATCAACGATTTRCATACTTCGATCAATGTATGCATTTCCAGTACAAGATTAATTTACTGGTACCTACTAACCCACTAAAAGGTGTTCCACCATCAAAGTGGAACGTGCAGACCAACGTACAGCTGACCCAGTGATCGATTATACAACATGTTACGTTTTGTCGTTACGGCGAAAACTTTCACTAGTATATTCATTAAATTACACGTCTTTTGTCTGTCGCGTTTATGAAGCTCCCAGATGAATCATGTATTCTTAATATTTACACATCCACGTAAGAGATTTTATTTTTGCAAAATCAAAGATGCCAAGTGTGGTAGATGGATGTTACATTAAATGAACCCATCATGTGAAGACGAAAAAGCAATATTATGTTACTAAAGGTTCGAAATATTATAATTATTTTCAAGCAGTTTTTAAATGAATACTAATACACGTAAAAATGAAAAAAAATAGTTATAGAAAATCGATATGCCCTTGAGTGGCTTCGGCATAAAACATATAACAATTTCTTAATTATGAACAATTAAGTAAAATCAAGCTTAAAAATCTTTGCAAATTTATCAACAGTCACTTTCTCGGGTAGTTTCTGGTCTCCCTAATAAAAGTAGTTAATAAATATAAAAATAATTTAGTACTTTCTATGTAAACTTATCGGCTTTAAACGATCGTCTGCACATCTTCTTGAATATCAATATCTAAATGAACGCCGAACTGTTTACAAGGCAGGAAAAAAATCAGTCTACTTCCACGTCAATTATTGTTAATAAAATTCCGTTTAATTTCCACATTAGTTGTTCCAATAAAATATTTTTACTGGTACCAGACGCAGTTATATTGCATAATTATACACTGTGGAGAATGCAAGCTAAACATCCAATAGAATTTGTTCGGATCTCATAATGTTTATAACTAAACCTGCGAGAGGAAATTGCTATAAATTGAAACTGGTGCATTGTGCGCTTTAAATAGTTAATGTAACCGTGAAACTGAAACTAGTTTTGTCATTTGTTAATCGATCTTTACTGCATTTGTTGACCACAGACAATTATAATCCAGCAGTTCTTATTACAGAATAGTATGCGTAATTCAAGTTGTAGAATGTTCAACTAAATATTAATACAGCGTATCTGAAACTGGTGTTATCAAACATGAAATAAAAGGCTATTTGGGCAAACCGACATGCCCAAAAATAGGTGGTAATGCTGAGGAATGTTTTATACTGAACATTTAAAACATGTCCATATCGGAAGCAAATTCAATTTGAAATTTAAAAAACTACATTTGCGCTTTTGAAATTTAGTCGATTAGAGTCAAAAAATATAAAATGATCTACTAGTTACTAGTTTCCGCAATGAGACATACTGTTAATTAATTTGCAAAGTTAACATTTGCGCTCATAACTTTTCAGCACGAGCATCAAAACAATGCTTATACATTATTTTTACAAAATACAAAATATCTTTTGATTGGGCAAAATGTGAATCAAATAGCCTTCCTTCTATTCCTGAATAAAAATTATAACATTGTAAAGGTTTGCAGCTTCAACAGTATAACTAAAACCACAAACTTATTTAAAATCAACTTTTCAGTTACAAGTAGAGAAAAGTTAATTTAAATTAGTTATATTCAATCTTAATTGAACATAATCAATGTAAATTTAATAAAATATATACAAAAGCCTAAAGTTTATTTTACCTTCAAAGCTCCTCTATAGAGACCAACCTGAAAAATCCTTCTTTTCCTAAACTCCAATTAGTTCACAAATACTGTTATTGTAAGTAAATTTTGGTTAAATATACTTTTCCAGCAAATTTCAGTTTCGGACTAACCCGGCAAGCTCTGAGAGTCCACTTTTAGTCATTCGGGGACCGCTTTGGAAAAAGCGTTCCCCCCGAAATTTCATCTTTGCCGCTAATTTCTTCGTCCTTGTTTAGTTCAGCTGTTGATACTTTTCCTTTCTGTGTTATGCATCTCACTCTCCTATAAGGCTGTCGATTCTTGCAGACATTTGCGGTTTACATGTATTATTATGTATATGGGACGTACTACTCTTACCCAGAAGATTTTTTAATAAATTTAATGAGCAATATTAGAACGAAATAAATTCAAACGAACTGTTTGCGTTTTGCATTAATTAGAACTGATTATCAATCAGTATAATGGTTAACTGGTTATAAATCAGCTGAATACACATAGCTACATAAACTGATGTAAGGAATTGCAGTACAGAAAACGTAATTACATGCTCAAATTGGCGTTTAATATAAAATAATACTAACAGGAAATAAAATTATATTTAGTGTTTTACAATTCGAGTCGCATTAGATTAGAGATTAACTCTAAATATACCATTTATTCGAATAATGCAATATTAATAATAACAGAAATAATGCGAGATAAACACATGTATTATAAATCATATTTCGGGAATAATTTTATTTGTTATAATCAGTTTTCAGTTTCTAATATTACAACTTTCTGAAAAACATAGTAAACAAAATCAATAAGCAGCTTATTATGTATCTGACTATCACCTATCTGACTGAGAGATTTTCTAAACGAATTCAATCAGTTCTTTCTTAGCTAAATTTCAACGCGGAAACATAAAGAATGCTAAAGAAAACTCTAAAAACAAGTAAATCCGTTTATGATGATTGTTGAATAAATATTATTGTTACCTTAATTTTGTCTTTAGACAAATTTTATTTTAATTTAAGTGATTGAAATGTTCAGCAGTGTGACAGGACAGGTTTTACTAAGACTAAGACAGGTTTTATACACATCCATACTTTTTATATAAGAGATCAATTACAAATATTTGCTGTCGCCAAGTAGCTCCCGCTTCGAAGATACAGCCCCTGAACTTCACCCTGTTAAATAGGTTTCCGTTCATTTCTCATTACCAATTTTTGGAAGAAAAAAAGTAAAATAATAATGTTATGAACGGTTAAATATAACTAGTAAAAGCGAAATTTATGTTTAGTTTAAACAAACCAGCTACCTACAGTTAATATCGAGAAGCAGTCGAGCAAGTTTAGTAATATTTTACAGCAAAAAAAATGTTCCTAACAATAAGCGCTTCAGAGACAAAACACATTTAATTATATCCATTCATTCATATCAATGACAGAATTCATAAATTTATGTTTTCAAATCAAAGAATAATCTTTTCCATAGAACATTAAGTGTGCATCCAAAGTTTTATTTTTATTTTAAAAGCAAATACGGCTAAGGAAAGTACCTCAAAGGGGTCGACTTTCCAGTTCCACAGGACATAAAACCCCAGTCTACTTAACTTAATAATTATCGAACAAAAAGTTTTGGAAAACAAAAAATCCAGTGATAAATGTCCAGAAGGAGAGTCATTTCATATTTTTTAAGGGTCTGTGACCAAAATGGATATATGCCTTGAACACATAAATATATTTTGCGATAATTCAATTCAAGGAAAATCGATTAATTTTTCAGAATTTTTTTGCAATATTTATTTAGGAAATAATTTAGTAATTATAATAGTGGTATTAGTAATAATTAATGGATATATTATGTTATAGATTTTCAGCAATAAAAATGATTAATTTAATCAATTATCACACCATTTTAAAATTTCCTAAAAATATACAAAGAGATTATGGAATTTTTCTTCTAAATAAATAAGAGGGGTACCTTTTTCACTGTAACTAAGCAGAATTTTGCTACATATTTTCTCGTTAATTAATTAACATTAATATGAAGAATCGAATATTGCACTTATGTTCTATAATTATCTTCGCTTTCGCAGCCCAAGTGCTATTAACTTCCTTTATGTACCAACATTTTAATGTAAAGCTGTGTTTATTCAGTAACTAAGACAATATTGTTAAATAATTTTTGTGTTTTATAATGGATTCAATGCTCCATAGCAAGGAGGCATTAAATCAGTAATTTATAATACCCAGGCTTGAACATCAAACTAATTAACAAAATTACTTTCATATTTTTGTTTTAATTGGCTCCGTTCAAACAGCTACTTTGAACTATTACATGAATATACAATTTTAAAGATAAATGGTTTTTAGTGTTGAAATAGCAGTAGTTTTCACCAAAATATATCACTCCAAGACTTCCGGTTTTATAAAACAACATACATTCGATGTGATTTTGGAGAAAAAGAATTATCTTGTTTAAGCATTTTATATTTTTTTATGAAATAAAAAACGTAATAAAATCTTGCGTTTCATTACCGCATACATGCATATATAAATAAAATTGAATTTTCTACGTTGTACAGAAAGATGAGTAAAATAGATCTCCTAAATCATTATTAGTAATTAATTTTTCAAAATAGAAATGTAAATTAACTCGAAGACAGTGGATGGACAAATCAATCCAGTAGTGAATTGAAACTGGAATAGAAAAACAATTCTTCGCATGCGAAACCTTTTGACCAGATATAAGCCATGGCTACAAAAGTTAACTAATTTGATATTCTTTAAATTTTATTTTCTGCAAAACTAAGAACTTTCAGCTAGGTACTTCGAATAACTGTATTTAATTTAGCTTCAAATTTAAAAAATTCAACATATTTTCAATTCTGTATAATTTAATTGAAATATTAGCTTAATATTTAGCTTCAATAGTTAACTGTGAAATTACCGTAAGACTCATTCTCGTCGATAATTTTAAATTTTAATTGTTCAGACATAATACGAAAGCGATTGATCTCTAATATGAAAATGCAAATATTGTTGATTACTGATTTTACTGAAGCACATAAAATAAAAAACTTAAACACACCGGCATTTTAAAATAAAATACATTTTTGTGCACTACTGAAAACTTTTTTGAAGAATGCGGAATTTTTTTGAAGCGACCTAAAATCCACGTTTATTAAATTTTTCTGAATTTGTTTTGGCTTACAATTTGCTAATTAATAATTAAGACTTTATCACTTAGTGAATGCGGCCCGGAGAGAACTATAAGCTTAAAAAGTAGATATACATTTTTCAACAGTTGCGCTTTAAAAGGTATAGAAAAATCCGGTTTTTGAATAATCTTTACAGCAATTACGATACTCGAAATCGGACTTAATTGTTACAAATAGTCAAATTTCAAATGCAACATTATAATTTCCAGATTAATTAATTAAACGTTATTATTTAACAGAAATTGCAGTTTAATGAACTAGGTACTTCGATTTTCGATGTAATAAGGAAACAACTATAGTATATAGGTACCCTGTATGCATTGGCAAATTAGCCAATAAGAGTTATAACATTCACATAATTGAACAAAACCGACGATTATACAACCGACTTGAATGCATGTAAATATTTAATAAGTACACACTTTTAAGGGTGTCAAAAAATCGAGTAAACAATTTATTAAAAATTGATATTTACCCAAAATGTGACTAAATATTTAATGAAAATATCGCCTTTGACTACAACGATATTAATAAGCGAGCAGAATAGATTCTTACATAAACAATAAAATCATAAATGTATTAGATAAGAGCCGAAAGGAGGTCAATATTCTTGCAACATACAACAAGTACCGTTCTTCGTTGGAAGTCCTACTGAAATAAATGTATAGGACAACGTCTGACACCAATAGCAATGATCCGATCGTTGAGCAATAAGACATTTTGGAACCTAATTTGATCTTGTTTCCTCATTAACGTGGGAATTTTAGCATTTATGTTATTTCCTCATTATTAACTTATACATAGTCAATAATAATTTGAATTCATATCGGCCATAATAATTTAATAAAGAAATCGTTCTCATTAGGTTTGGAAGGAAAATTATATGATGTAGGTATGAAATTGTTGGCGAAACTTTACATAAATATATTAAACACGACACAAAATGTTCGCTTTTTAAACGACCCACGAACAAATAGATACAAATTATGTGTCAGTCAACTACAGTGTCAAACTGAAAATATGCCGATTTAAACTATATTTTTTAGCTTCTTTTTCAAATTGTAAACAAATTTTTAATAGTTAACTATATATTCGTAAAGTGAGAATCACATAAGTCACATAATAAAATTTGAAGGTAAACTTGTGTTTTTTGGTTTTTCTCGAGTTCAACCATATGATAACTAAGTCTTCTTTCTAGTAGTAGTTCTCGAAATAATTACACCAATTATATTTTTTTATTTAAAATTACCACTTAGCTAAAGGGTACCAAAATAACTAACTATAATTGGAAGATACAAATTTCTCACATTGGTTTGCGAGCATCGGTTTTTGAAAAAAGTAAAAATTCTTATTGAAGGCAGTAAAAATGTTTTATTAAAATAATTAGATTTCTTAAAAATTGAACAGGAACAGCAACTAAACAAATAAGTCGTCAAAAGAGTCACGGGATGCACGACAGAAGTGATAAAACTTTATATTATTAATAGAAACCATAAAATATTGAACTTGTTTAACGCATGATGGCAATACTAATTTATAAGTTCAATTTTCTTGATAGATTAATAAGTTATAATTTCCTTTTGAATTTAAAATTGATTTATATTTTATTTACAACATTTAACATTCTTCAATAGTTGCAGTGGACTCGCTGGTATTTACGATATCATTATCCTACAAAAGTGACAATTGGTGTATGATAACTGTTCGAATCGGGACACTCGATTTTATATTGTTCGATTGCAGTTTGTTCTGGATTATTCATCATCTTTAATTGTAACTTTGATTCAAGAAATGGCATTAACTTTTGCGCTCTGTCGGAAGAAAAATCAATATTCAAAACAAATGGGATTTGTCCGCAGGTTCGAAGTATTTCTGACTGAATAGAGAATATTTTTGCAACACAGCGAGCTGAAATGGATGTTGAGAAACTAATAAGTCTTTCTGCTTCTTTTTTGAATCTTCATATAATGATGCAATTCTCCAGACTTTTTTCGTTTTGCTAATGTATCAGCAACCCAATAGTTTTTTTTTCTTTAACTGTAATGTCTTCTAACAAGGTATTTTCCATTTTTCATCCTATTTTCCAAAAGAAAATCATCCATTACTATTAACAGTTGTATAATCACTCTGATTATTATATAATTATCCTGTATAATTGTGCTTATTTGATTCATAACAACACATGACCAATTCGTACAATAAAAAAACCTCCAGTGGACGATACCCACATATGCGAAATCTGACGAAATTCTTTCAAAGGATGTCCGACCTAAGGTTCCATTTCACTTACAATGGTTCGAGCAAATTCGGACGAATGATTTCGGATCTAGTGGACCAGCCTCTATACATTCCAATGAAATTGGATCATTAGCTCCTTTTCGCACGAAAACGCATTCAAAGGAAACCGGCCCACGGACTACACACTATTATATTCACACGAACGGACCACAGTCTACACACTATGATTATAGACGACCGGGCTAATGGAACGAGATGAAACTCGCGAGCGGCTGTGTGCGAGCGAGAGAGAACTACGTAGCTACTTATTACCAGAAAAAATACTGGTTAAGCTAGAAGATTTTTGCTAACGGTATACGAGGGTCGTGTCAGCGACTTTTTTAATTTTTGAAAACAGTGGGTTTCTTCAGGTGAACGTGCACCAAAGAAAGCCAAAATGGGCATGTCGGCCAACAAGATGATGGCCACAGTTTTTTGGGATGCACGCGATGTCTTTGGCATCGATTACCTTGAAAAGGATAAAACGATCACTGGCGCGTATTATTGAGAGCTTTTTGACAAATTCGATCTTGGACTCGAAGACCTCGAGAAATTATATTATAAAAGATAAAAATTGGAAGAACGCTGGACTGAGTGTATCGAGCTGAAAGGAGATTATGGTGTTGAGAAATGAATAGTTTTGGCTAAAGGCTTTTTTTACAATATTAGTAACGCCCAAAAATCCTCTGGAAGTTCTCACGTATGGTCATTGGGCCCTTGTTACGTCGCATTCTTATTAGTCACGTTATCCTAACGAAACTAGAATAAATATTTTCCTTTATCATTTGTATCTAGCCATTAATCACACACATGCAATACGAATTCTAGGCCAATCCTAAGCGAGGATAAAGAGCAAAGACATGTTAAACATTTTGCTTCTAAACGGAAGAAAGCTGAATCGGCAGCCACTTGAATATCAGGATTAGGAAATTCTCCTTCATTACATTATGTGAATACGGGTTTCTTCAAATGTAAAAAGACAAGAATGCACGACTATTTTACTATGAAGAGATGGAAAACAAATTGATAACAACAAAAACAACGTCCGTTTGTGTAAACAGTTTATTGTTAACCAGAGCCTCTCCCAACTTACCAAATTATACATTCATCAGGAAAACAAAATATAAACACACTGCATATGGAAATATTCCACATAATTGTATAAAAAATTACTATATTGTCTACACCAAATCTAGTGGAAATATATAAAATCAGTTTCACACAATTTAGTAGACGTCCCGACAGAAACAAGCACACATCAAATTCGGAACTGACTAATGTGTACTTTGCAATTGAACAGTTAAGGCATTTCATCAAATTTCCGCAATTTACTCATACAGTATAACCATATTGAAAAACGTTTTGATTTTGAACATTTTTTCTCATTTAAAAAATATCCATTCAAATAAGCTATAGAATCGCAAGCCGTTACCAAAATATTCATATCGAAAGAGGAATTTTCCGAAAGTGTTTTACACAATAAAATTGTAATTAAATTAAAAAATAAAAGCACACTGCTCTGTGGATTTTATTTACTTAATGGTCCCATCTCCGGTAAAGTATGCTCTGCAAAAAAAGTATTTTCAAGTAAGTACGTTTAGGAGAAAGAAAACATTTCAGCTCAACTTAGTCAATAATGCAGAATATCAACTAATTCTGTTACTTACAGTTTCCAAGTCCAAACTCCTTAGCATCATCTTCGGTAATGTCACCATACTCCCAGATGTTCAAGTGAGCCTTTTTCGCTTCATCTTGAGCGGCCCTATAGTCTTCCAGCTGAAACAAAATTGATTAAATTGGTACGCAAAAGATCTGAAAGGCATAAACTTGCTATACACGTGTCCATAGATAAAAAATAAATTCAATTAAAATAGGCGAAAGATGATAGGGAAAGTTACTCACCAACTTGTTGGGCCTTTTACTTTTGATGTTCTCCACCAGCAGTAAACCTTCCGCAATGAGAGCTCTGATAATATCAGTAGTTCCGGACTCGTCTTTATGCAGAGACGCACTTTGTGGATGAGCTCCTCTGGATTCAACGTTGAGGTACAACTTAGGCACACTTATGTCTTCTCTGAAGTATTTCAAAGCTAGCAATAAAACATTTTTCATTGATTAGTTCATCCAAACTCAAGCATACAGTACATTTGAAAGAAAAGAAAGAAATTGCCAATCTGCCCAGTCATTCTTAATAACTTACCTATTTCTCTGAATTCCTCGTCTTTAGGTAAAATGACGTATGGCAAAGAATATTCAACGGCGAAAGGTTTCTCTGAAGAATAAGCAGCTGGTAAACTGGCCAAACGTGTAGTTGGGATGGTCTCTCGGTTTCCGTAATCAATGTAGTGTACGACAGCGTTGCCTGCTGCAACCTAAGAAAATATTTACCTTGGTGAGAATTTATAAGATAACTGATAAAGTCGTGAACAATCGATAAGACAAGAATAAAATTGAACAATCCCAAAGAAGACTTTACCTTTTCGACTTTAACTCGGTACCACTCGTCATCCAAAGTGAACTTGGCAGCTGCAATATCGCCCCTTTTTGGTGTATACGCACCAGGCAGAGGAGGATTTGCTTCGAATTCCTGTCTAAGTTTCGCCAGAAGGGCGACAGCCTTAGGGCCATCAGCAAACTTTTGAGCGAAGAACGTACCCTCAGCGGAAACTTCCGTAACAACCACTTCTTCGTAGTTGACTTTTCGATCTACATGCTAATAAAAAAAATATATTTTCGAACATTTTTTTCTTCATACGCAATGGGATGTCTGTTTTACATCATTTTATTTAAACTGATCAGAACCACTCTGGATCACCAATTTTTCTTACTTGTTTTAATGGATTAGTTTGGAAAATTCTTCAACAGAAAATTTATTTAAGCAAATATTTTACAAGATTATTGAATACTAACTTCTCATATTTCCAAAGCAACACATTGACCTTCTTAATTTAGCTGAACGTAGGTTCACACTTACCCGCTCTTCTTCTACATGCTTCTCTTTGGGCTCTTCTTCGACGTAATTCTTCCAGCGTCTCAATTTCTGACTCTTTGCGCTGTCTTCGGCTTGTTTCAGCTAAATGGGTTGAACATTTTTTTAGTTGCATTCAATCCAGACAAACAATGAGTGAAGTAGTTCTTACCAGGGAAGCATACGCTGATTTTTCGCCGGTGAAATGAACTGAAGCAAAGCCAGCTCTCACCAGCTCAACAGACATGTTTAAGTTATCAACCCAGAGCCATCCAATGAAATTTCCTGCTTTGTCGTGGGTGTCGACCTTGATTGTCACTTCCCTCTGGAGGCATTTTTCTTTCGTGAACAAAAGAGCCTCATCTCCGAACTCTTCACCTTCGGATGCCGGAAGATTGCCAGTGGCTGGTCGCGTTGCTCTAGGGCAACTAATTCCGCCTAAAAAAAACACGAAAAAATATAATATTGTTTTAGTTTCACTTTTGTAAAAACTACTCACCCAATAAAAATGTGGCCAAACTGTTCGATTTGGGAATATACACCCGGAATCTCGAGCCGCTGGCTACGAATTCAACTATAGCGTCAATTGTTTGAACTCTCTGGAAGGCAGACAGCTCCAATTTTGCTCGTGCGGCGTCCTACAATTCATAAAAAAATACATTCATTGCAGACTTTCGGCAATATTCAAATAAACTTAAGCTGCAAAATTAAACTTGCACATTGCCACACCAACAATTTGGCAAACAATACTTACGATTTCGGTTACCCTCAAAGGAGCACTATCTTTCTTGGAATGAACTCCTAGTTGAGATTTTTCAGCTTTAGATTCAGCCTTGAGCAGTTCGTCATAACGAGTGCTTCTTTGTTCATCGTCTGGTCTATATCTGACGACTGTTGCCAAACCTTTAGACACAAGGGCTTCCGCAATGTTCCTAAAAAAAATTAAGCACTTAGTCTTCGATAAAATACAGAGTGATTCAAAAAAGAAATCATTTTAGTGGGATTCTTTTGGAAAGTACGGACAATGTGCGGATCAAAAACGTTGAGCTTATTTCTCGAAGTATCAACTCTTGAAGATGCTACGCTTAATGAAAAAAAAGTCATTTGTAGGTGCAAATAAAAAACATTGAAAAATTATTTGCTCTGTACTCTCTAAATAATCGCAGGCAGACAACAACTGCAGGGGAATGGAATGACGCCAATTTTGAACCATCCTATATAATACAATACTGTTTTTGGTTAAAGCTACTAAAATGTGAATACATACTTTCCACTGATTGTCACTGTAGCGCAACTCTTTTCAGGAAAAGTGTCTCTGGCCTCTTGAATGTAGTCAATGACCACATGCACTTTCTTGCCTATGAGCTTCTTTCTGAGATATTCACGGGCCTCAAACATCCACGGAATGTCGTACAAAGGCCTGAAACCTAAAGCATATTCATTGAATGGAATTGAACTGTTTTTGGACAGAAGTTCACCTTTTGGCCTTGGTGCTGGTTTTCCATCTTCTGGGGCGGCTCTGCCAGCTTCCCTTGGTGGTCTGATACTGGCCAAAAACACTTTTTTAAAGGCACCATTAGCCAACTTCAACTGAAGAGCATCGCCATTCACCACTTCAACTACAGTTGCAGTAAACTCTTTTTCTTTGCCGGTTATCTGAGGCGTTTTAGCCTGGTAGGTCTTCCATATCCGTTTATTTTCGCTTCTAGCTTTTGCTTCTGCGGCACGAAGTTGTTGAATTTCAGCGGTTGGAAGTGCAGAAATCGACCAATCAACGCATCTCGCGAAACCTTCACTCAACAACTTTTCGGCAATGTTTCCTTTCGGGTGAATAATCGAGCCACTTAAGGTGGTGTTATTAGCAGAGTTTAAAATAATCTCCACATCTTGCTGAAGAAGCCGTACCTCCACGAAATATCTAGCTTCATCAGCAAATTCGACCTTTTGTGTCGGATCAGGTTTACCTTGATCGTCAAATTTATATCCGTTGCACCTGATTCCAGTAATCATTAAAGTAACATAATGGAAATCAGGCAATAAAAATGCTCGAACTGTAGAACCATCACGCACATGCTCTATCACAGCATTAATCGGTTTGCCTCCACTTTTCTCTACGAACACTTGTAAATTGTCTATAGACCATTTAACATCCCTGACATGCTCCTGAAACAAATAATGTTATATTTAGTAGATGGGAGACACAAGAAAAACTAGGAGCATCAGAGCAACTATTAAACAGCTAGACGTAATGTACATCACGTAAAAACAAGCTATGCGAACTTACCGAAAGTGGACTGCTACTCCATTTTCCTTTGCCTGCACGCTTTGCCTCATCTTCAAGCTCTCCAAGTCGAGTGAGTTCAGCCGTAGGTCTCACTCCTTCCCTCCTCACTGACACAAGGCCCTCAGATACCAATGACTCAGTTATATTCTCAGCAGTGTTTATATCTAGAAACAAAATTATACGTCTCAGAATTAGAAATTGTATTTGTTTTTTACAATAAAAATATGGTAAAATTTACTATTTGGGAAACAAATTCAACGAAATCCTGTATGTATGTATTTTGAATTTACAGTCCCAGTGAACAAAAAATGTATGTGTTTATTAAAGCTGAACGAAACAGAAGGAACCATTAACAAAGTTATTTTAATTAAAATTTAATTCAAATATTCCAATAATAACATCTTTTTTGATCATTGAAAATCTTGACATTTAAATTTATTTTATTATTCAAATTATTTTATTGCCAAATGTAAAAACATGTACTTAAACATGTGTAGTAACAATAAATGAACGATAAAATAATTCCGTTTTAAGTTAAAATTTAAGAAAAATAAGTGGCTTGATGAAAAAACGAATGATGATCTAAATATGTTTACCTTTTCCTAAAAACACGGTACCATACTCTCTGGTAGAATTAGGAGGTTTCTCAGAGATAAAAAGGATCTCTTGTCCAACCAGTTTTTTCCTGAGAAACTCTCTAGCTTCCCATGCCCAAGGTTCATCCTTAGAGTCACCCCTATTTAAAATAAAAGATTTGCTGTTTTGAAATTGAAAAAATGTAAATAGCAAAATTAAGGTAACGAAGAATTTCTGATTTTTAATTAAATAAAAACTGTCCAATTGGATGGGTAATAACAACTAACAGTACAAGGAACGTCTTTTAGCATACGCCTGTGTAAGAACAAATGTGAACTTTACTGTTATGTAACTGAAACAACTCGATTATTACAGTCAAGTTAAGTAATACTAAAAGTGGTTCAAATTTGATTGGCGATTAGCGCCAAAGAATATGTAAAATGGTATTGGATGAAACCAATAAATCACAAGACAGACCACTACATACAGAGTAACTGAAAATTAGGGTGATGATTAAGATTGATTTAACTGTAGGTACATTTTTTGAGCAAAAATACGGCAGCCACGTACAAAATGCAAATGAAAAATAAAATAGCAAACTAAAATTTTGTGTTATTAAGCAATAACAAATATGCTCCACAAGAAGCTGTAGAAAAAAAACTTAAATAAAATGCCATTTTTGATACCCTGTATCTCGTAAAAAAAGTTTGCGGTTCTACATTTATATAAGCTTTTTGTCTTATTTTTGCTCGTATAATATGCAGTTAAAATTAAGCATCCAAATATTGGTTCACACTCTCTATTTACAATTCGCTTTAGCACAATAAATAGGTCTTAATATACATATAACATGGGGCAACCCCAATTATAAGTAAGTTAACAAGTAACAAATAC